TGATCACATGATCTCAGGGTGCTTGGCAACCAGTTGTAGGTGCAAACACGTTGCCAAGTGCCCAGATCGGAATCATGTGACCACGGGGGTGCTGGGACAGCTGTAACTCCAAGGACCAGTGGTAACCACCATTTGTTCAGCACCGTTGCAACTTCAAAGGGTCACTGAACGAATGGTTGTAAATCGAGGACTACCTGTATTGGCCAGCCTCCCTGCTGTACAACATTCCTGCCTGAACTCCACTCTGTTGCTAGAGGTGGTGTCTCCAAGATCGATTGTCCTTTGAGACTTGTGATTGTCTATGCCAGTGCTTCCCAAACTTTCTTCAAAACTCGGGGGGGGCATGGTGTGTGTGTGTGTGAGTGAAGGGGGGAAGGAGGGTGTGGTGTATGCAGGCGAGTGAGTGAAGAAAGGCTGGGGTGGGTGGGGGAGACTTACCCAAGCGACTTGTGACCTCCCCTGACTTACTTCCCCATTGACTTTATTGTGGAAAGCTGGCAGGGAAGGCTTCAAATGGTGATCACGCAACCGTGGGATGCTGCAACCAGTCGTATCTGTGAGCTGGTTGCCGGTGCCTGAATTTTGTTCACATGACCGCAGGGATGCTGCAATGGCTGGAACTTTGAGGACCGGTTGTAAGACCCTTCCTTCAGCACCATCGTAACTTCGAACAGTCACTGAACAAATGGTCAAAACATGAGAACTACCTGTATTATAAAAACAATATAATTGAATGATCTTTGTCATTTCAACAAATTACCATTGGTAATTTCATCAATTTTTGTCTTAATAGGAATACTTTGGGAGATTTTCGAATATATTTTAGTACATGTGGCAAACTTTAAGTCAATTTAAATGTCCCTGTTGTGAATGGGTTTGTGTGTTGTTACCCTCTCTCAAAACCCCCCACTTTTCCCTATTTTGGATAAAGCACTGGTCTATGCCCTTGTGAAGCACAGAGTGGCTCAGGTGTTCATGGCCTCCAAGGCAGCCATGGACCTGAACTATATCAAGGGCCTGACACACACAGGTGGTCACAGACTAGGACTCAGTTTTGTCTCAGGGCTGTTGCTGCAGCATGTTCTGAAGGTGGAGGAACTACCAGCAGTCCTTTTCATCCTTTGATATGGTCAGGTCACTCTCTGGTTGCTTTTTGGCTTGCAGGTGCTGTCCCCACCTCCAGCTAATGGACCTGGATGGGTTTCAGAAGGAGCTGGGGGGTTCCTGGGAATGTGGTAGACAGTTTGACTGAAGCCTTAGGCTCCATTTAGAATGGGCGTGTGACAACAGCCTTGGAATGGATTGCTCCTATGCGGCCTCTCCCTGTTTGTGATTCTGGGGACGGCGGGGGGTGGGATGGGGGGGAGAAGGAGCTCTGAAAGATGAAATGACAGAAGAGATGCCTGGACCACCATTGGAGAAAGACAAAGAGTGAATCTGACCAAGCACACATAAGAGCTCACATTAGAGGTTGCCCCATGGTAATAAGTGCAGTGAAATGTATCTATTTTTCTGCTCTTATCATGTCCATAGATAGACAACAGTGGCCCTTTCAAGGTGACCCATTCTGTCCTGGTGAAGGAAGGGCCACAGGAACATCTACAGGGCCACCTTGAAGTATATTTTTGGCATGGGAGAGGCAAAATTGCTGGATCCACTTGGAGTTGGACTTTGGGCAGGTCCACTTGGGACAGCTGAAGCACAGACTTGCTCAGTTATCTGGGATGGGTTTGATCCTGTGACTCTTGAGGAGGTGGACAGGATCCTTGGGTCTATTAAACCAGCCATCAGTTTATTAGACCCATATCCCTCTTGGCTGGTAAAGACCTCTTGGAAGGTGACATGTGGTTGGGTCCATGTGGTGATCACATCTTCTCTGAGGGGGGGTAGTTCCACTTGCCTTGAAAGAGCTGGTGTTATGGTGCCTCTTCAAGAGGCCATTGCCAGACCCAACAGCTTTGGACAATTTTCCCCCAGGTCTCCGACCTTCTTTCTTGGAAATGTTGTTTAGAAGATAGTCAGGTTGCAGCTTTTGAAGACTTTGGAAGAAGCAGATTATCTAGACTGGTTTCAGTCAGGTTTTAGGCTGAGGCATAGAATGGAGAGAACATTGATTGTACTTATAGATGACTTCAAGTGGATCTGGAATGGGATGGTGTGATGTCCTTGTTCTCGATCTCCCAGTGGCTTTTTATATCATTGATCATTATATCCTTTTAGAATGACTATGGAGTGGGAAGCATGGTGTTATAGTGGTTCTCCTCCTGGGTCTGCAGCTGGTTCCAGTCACAACTGATGGGGAAGAGGTACAGCCCCAAATCCCTGGTTGTGAGGGAACAAAAGGTTAAATACTCTCATTTCTCCTTTTTAACATGTACATGAAGTCTCTGGGTGAAGTCATCCATTGACCCAGGTTAGACTCTTGGTGAAGACATATTGACCCCCAGTTGACTAAGTGATGCTGTCGAGGTCTTCTTCCAGAGCTTGGAGGCTGTTGCAGACTGGATAACTGAAGACCTAGTACCTATGGTTCTTCAGATGCCAGGGATTTTCCACCTTTAATTCTGAATGGGTTGCACTTCCCCAGATAGAACTGGTGCATAATCTTGGGTTCTTCCTGGACTCACAGTTCCTGTCCAAACAGCAGGTGGCTCCTATGGCCAAGAAGGCCTTTGAACAGATCTGTCTGTTGTGCCAAATGTATCCTTCTTGGACTGGGAGTTCCTTCACATAATCACTAATGCCTTAGTTATCTTGCGTGTGGACTGCACATAGATGTTAAACAGGAACGGGGAGAGTGGAGCCCTGTGGCATGCCACAAAGCGAGGGCCTAGGGCCAGATCTCTCCCCCCAACACTGACTGGAACTGGCCTTGGAGGAAGGAGTAGAACCATTGAAGAATAGGGCCTCCCACTCCCAACCCCTTCAGCTGGCTCAGAAGGATACCATGATCACTGGTACTGAAAACCAGTGAGATCAAGAAGGGCCAGGATGAATACACCACTCCCACCCCAGGACTGCTAGACCTCATCTACAAGTGCAATCAATGCCATCTCAGTGCTGTATCCCATCTTGAAGCCTGACTATAACAGGTCAAGATAATCCGCCTCCTCCAAAGGCCTTTGAAGCTGTAGGCCTACCATCTTCTCAGTGTCCTTCCCCAGAAAGGAAAGGTTGGAGCCTGTACAAAAATTGCAGTGATGACCTTTTGAGGAGGGGATGGACCACCGCCTGCTTCAAGGCAGGTAGAATCATCCTTTCCCACAAGGAAACATTAACCACTACCTGGCCTAGCTACATGTCACCTGGGAGGTCTGTCCACTTGTCCACTTCCCCAGGAGTAACTGGAACAAACTCAGCCCAGATAACCAGGCAAGATCCAGCCCCAGTCACCTCCACAGGACCAGCACAGCTAGAGTCAAACTCCAAGCAGATCTGAGTGACCTTATCCGACGGACGCTTTGGATAATCCTCACGGTGACCCTCAAGGGTTCCCCTGGTCCCTCCGTAACAAGAAGGAACCCAAAACAGGGTTGCCCTGTGGCTATCTGTGGATGCAATAAGGCAGAGAAATCAATATGTTTCATTGCCCTTATCATCCCAAGACATTGAGAGGTTAAGGATCGATTCAGAGGAGGGTGACAAAGATGATATGGAGACATGAGGACATGTCCTATAAGGACAGTCTGAAGGAGAGAAGATTGAGGGGAGCCACAATACCAGTATTCAGATACATAAAACGGCACCACAAGGAAGGTGGCCAAGAACAATCTTCCATGGCCACAGAACTGAGGAGCAGAAATAAATGGGAAATTTTCCAAGCTCACTTGGAAAAGTGATAATAAACCTGTTGTTTCTGTCATATTAAATTGAACTAATCCAGGCGTTCTGTTATAGGTATACTGCTCTTCAAGTAAAAAGAACATAAATAAATAAAATAAAAACAATCGCGCATGATAATTCCACATAAAGTGAAGCCTAAGGAAGGAAGGTGTTGCTCCATGGAGACACCCCACGCTGTCCTGCGCGGCAGCCAGCGCACCTGAGGTCTGGAGAACAGGGACGTTTTCCCCAAGAAGGTGTTTGTGCTGGGTGGAGATACGCGTCAGCCACGCTGGCCTAACGCGGCTTAGGGCTTCCTGCTTCTCGCGCTCTTGGCTTCCAGCTGGAAGGC